CGGGGGCGCTGTGTGGGGCGCGGCGCGTGGGGGACGCTGGACACCGTAGTCCCCGCGCGGGGCCCGACGCGCGCATGCGCACCTTCCGTTGTAGTTACTGGCGGGCAGCAGCGTTTGCCGCGCGGGGGGTGTTGGGCTTTGTAGTTCTCCCGGCCCTTTGGCGGGCGGGGCTTGTGCATGTCTGTTACTCTTGTAGGCAGGAGTGAGGGGAGAAAGAGGGGTCCAGGGACCAAACAGAACCTTCCCCCTGGCTTTCTAGTGTTCTCTGGCCGATTCTAAGCAGAGCCAACGGTTCCCAGTCTCCTTTCTCTGGTGCTCTGAAGAAGGTCTCCCCGAACAAACCCCCTCCATCCTGTTATTCACTCTCTGCTGGCAGATACCGGACCACCAAGGAAGAGTTCCACGGATATCTGGAAGCCAAAGGGCAGGAGAAGGAGTCAGGAGACCATGAGGACGGCAGTGACCTGGCAGAGCCTGAGGCCAAGAAGATCCGACTGGAGGATGGGCAGGCAGAGTCCACAGCCGAGTCCCAGAAGAGAGCCCGGGGCCAGAACAAGGCCCGGCCCCACGTGAAGCCCACTCAGTACGACAAAGACAGATTCTGCCCAGCCCTCATCCAGGTGAGCATTGACCTGTGGAACGCCGCAGGGCACCTGCAGCCTGGGTCTCTGTCTGCACTCCATCTTTGTGATTTTCTCTGTTAAACAAGTACCCATGCCCTGTAGCCTGTGGGAGTTCAGACTGCAATAACTGGACTCCAGGCTATAGAGACAAGGGTAAAATGCAGTACTATAGTGTGGGTTTTGTGGGAGTTTTTGTTTGTTTTTTTTTTTCGAGACAGAGTTTCTCTGGGTAACCCAGGCTGGCCTGGAACTTGTGGTCCTCCTGCCTTAGTTTCCCCAGACCTGGGATTACCGGCATGTGCCAGCCTACCCAGCTTCAATATAATCACCTGATGTTATGCTGGGGAGCAGTGCGCATGTGCCGCTGAGTCTCAGAGATCATGACACTGACGAGTTCCCCATACAGCACTGTACACATCGCTAGGATGTTGGGGGTGACAGGCAGGGAGCAGGTATGTTGGATGCTCAGGGCCTGGGCACTGTCCTCCCCTGAGTTCTTTTTGCTCAAGGCTAGCACTCTACCCCATGAACCACTGCACCACTTCTGGCTTTCTCTGTTTATCTGGGACTGAGAAATCAAACCCAGGGCTTCAGGCATGCTAGGCAAGCACTCTACCACTAAGCCACATTCCCAGCCCTTAAGTGTTTTATTTTTTAGCATTTCTAGAATTTTAGAGCAGCGCCTTGAGCTTGCTACGCAAGCACACTAACACTTCAACCATGCTTCAGCCCTTTTTGTTTTTATTTATTTTTGCCAGTCCTAAGACTTGAACTCAGGGCCTGGGCACTATCCCTGGGCTTTTTCTGCTTAAGGTTAGCACTCTATAACTTGACCCACAGCATTATTTCCAGCTTTTTCTGTTTATGTGGTGCTGAAAAATTGAATACAGGACTTTGTGCATGCTAGGCAAGCACTCTACCATTAATTAGCCACATTCCCAGCCCTTTGTTTTGTTTTGTTTTTAATTTTTTTTTTTGGGGGTCCGGTCGTGGGGCCTGAACTCTGGGCCTGGGCGCTGTCCCTCAGCTCTTCAGCTCAAGGCCAGCACTCTACCACTTGAGCCACAGCGCCACTTCCGGCTTTTTTCTTTTTGCTTATGTGGTGCTGAGGAATCAAACCCAGGGCCTCATGCATGC